GTAGCTGCAGTTTTTGCTTAAATTAAACAATTACAAAACTTTAAGCTAGCAATAGTCATAGAATTATATCAAAGTTATATATACATATATATATATAACTTTGATATAATTAGTATTTGATATAATTAACATATAGTATGTAAATGCATTGTTACCTTCTTTGTCTTTGGTCACTAATGGTAATGGTGGAAGATGAATTGGAATCATTTCATCTTCCTCACTCTCCTCTTCCTCCTCCTCCTCTCCCTCTCCTGCTGACCCCTCCTCTCTAGAGACAGGCCCCTTCTTGTGATGACACGCCTTCCTCGACGTTACATTATGCACATGCTTTCCCTGGGAAACAGGAACAGGTAGGAGGGGAGGGGGAGTACCAGGTAACTGAGGTGCTTCAACCTTTTCAAAATAAGCCTCTAAGCTTTCAATGCTAATGTCTAACTGATTGAATGCCTGAAGGACATCAAATGGACTGGGATCTGTTCTCTCGGCTATATGCAAAAAGTACATTAATTTTCATCAGTATAATTATTATGCCAAAATTGCCAATTTCTTTCATTTGATATATTCACACTTACCATGTGCAGCATAGCTGCTTATATTTCTTCCAATATTAATCAAGTACCTAACTCCAATGTCGCTTAGGGTATCGCAGGTCCCGCCAAGTATTCCGTGCCACCCAAAGCTCTGACAGAGAGCAGCAACAGACGCTCTCATGGATAATCTGTAGTACTTTTCGGGATCCATTTTGAAATATGGGTGTGGTTTTAATACCTAGTATAAAAATGTATAATAATTTTTATTAAAAATTATTTTTAATCCTGTAGAGTTTTTTTGGTATTTTTGTAAACAAATTGATTATCAATTTTACACAAAATATATAACACACACACACTCTCTCTCTATACTTGTGTACAAAAATAATATTATAATGTGTAATGCATATACAATGTATTAATAGATTAGGAAAGTCAGTGATTATATGCAGCTGGTTATAACCAGTAAGCAAAGTCAAAGTCAGTGATACCCCGATCAAGAGTTAGGAATAATCCGGAAACAAAAAAGAAACCAAAAACAAGAGAGGGATACATAGGAATGAATCCTAATTTAGCCTAAAAAGAGAAGAGGAGGAGAAAAAAAGAAAAAAAGTGAATGTACAAATAAAATACACATTCCATACTTTATAATTTGTGGCGCTTGTGTACAGTACGAATGAGTCAAGGACCAGCTGTGGAGTGTCGGAATATACAAATGGTCTTGCGCCAATTTCCAACCCAAGCTTTCTTATACCATTGCACTCAGCAGTCAGTCTACTAGCCTATAATAATAACAGAAACAGTAATAAAATAAATAAATAAATAATACAGCTGTATTATAATAATAGAAGAATTCTTACTTGTATGATTAGGAATAGTGTTCCAGAAAGCCATTGCAATACATTTATAGTACCAATAAAGATATTGAGATACTGCCCACTCCTCACACTCATGATACTGCTATAAGCTAACATACATTATATCATGTAAGAGTCATAAAGAAATGATAACAATAATAATTTTTATTATTATAAACTTACCAAGTATGACTCCTTGCAGGAAAACGAAAAGAATGAGACTTGTGATGTAGCTAAACTTCCCATTCAAGACCCTCAAGTACTCATTAATATGATACAACTCCTTCAAAGTGAAGGGGAAAAGAGGATAAATAACAAAGAAAAAGAATAATTAGCATCAAGAGAAGACTTGTAGACATATATTCCTATACCTTGACAGCATATCCTAATAGGTAATCCTTCGTAAGAACTTTCTCTCTTACGTTTCGAATGAAAAAACGAAGGAGCTCGCACTGGGTGACGTAGTTAACGATGACGGCAATGTAGAGCAAATCAAAGAATACAAAACCAACCAGTGATATTATTATGAGAGAATAATGGACACTATCGTATCTAATAGGACTAGAGAGAGAGAAGGAGGGAGGAGAAAGAAAGAAAAAAGAGAATGAGGTTAGAAGACAGAACTATGTAAGCCGTAAGGTATACATCTTGAGTCTATAGTGAGAGATTTGTAAACTACCGGTAACCTTATTAGTCTTGTCTCAACTTGAATGTCACAGGAAGCTTCTCCCTCCACAAACCAGCCAATGTACGTGTCTCTGTGGTCTAACTTTAATACAAAGATACGCCCAAGACTAGCAGTAAAGGAGATCAATATCCAAAGAATACCAATAATAAGATACGAGCTACAATCGAGGAATAAATAAATTAAATTAGTTGCTCAATATACTATAATACATGTAGCTATTATTAATATGCAATAAATGTCACAAAAAACAAAAAATAAATGTATGCTTACAGCAAAACAAAGACCAAACGTCTTGGAGAATTATGAACCAGCTTCGAGGTACAACTAAGAAAAACCTAAAGGAGAAAGAGAAAGGTTAGCTAGTGGTTAGTATACTATTAGCACAAAAACTATTAGATTGCAATTTAATATCGTAATTTACCGTTTGCATTAGCTTTGAAAGGTGCTCGCTCTCGCTAAAGCGAAACAGGTAAAAGGCCCAAAGATAAGCAATGAGGAGCAAAATGTCAGAAATTACAGTCTTAGTCACTAAATCTTGACTGCAGGTCAATAAATAGCCTGAGTTGTTGAGGTCAGTGTTATTAAATCGACATGGAGATTCAGACTACATATTTAAAAAATAAAATAAAATTTAAAAAAGAAGCAAAAGATCGAGCTAACCCGTGTCCTAGAGAAACAAGATGCAATCTGAGATAAGCAGGCAAAAATAAGAGCAAGGAAAATAAAAGTCGGATACAAGACATTAAAGCATTTCTTAAACCAAGGGGAGCCATGAGCTCTGGGAGACTGCAAAGGCCTCCAACCAATCTGGGGAGAAATGGAGAGAGAGGAGTAAGAGAGAGAAATGGTGAGCCATTTTTTATTTAAAAAAATATTGCAACTTACAATCTTCAAGAAGACGTGATATGGCCTCAGGACATATTTAGTGCAGAAGTCCAACGCTTTGGTTGTTGTCATAGCATTGTTACCAAGTGCCTTGATAAATAATGTAGAAAATGAAACACAAAAAGATAACAGACTGTTTATACTATAGTTACTATCATCCTATTTCACTATCTACTCTTGCGATTCTAAAACGCAGGCTTGTCCCATGTTTTTACTTGGAAATACACATGTATTTAGTTTAAAGGGAGTTTTTATACTTATAATAATCATATTATTAATACTATTGTGTACTGTAGTAATACATGTAATTGTAACAAAAATAAGTAACATTCTGTAGTACAGAGTTCAATATGTACAAGTACAAATTTTATGTTTTGAAACTTGAGCTAGCTCTGGGCTCGCATTTAAACTAGAAGTTTAACATACATCCATTGACTTAATCAATTGACTGTGTGCATGTACATATTACTTGCTCTTATGACTTACATCCAAAGACACATAGTCACTATCTCCTATTATAGACATGGAGGCAGAGAAACGACCATCAATGACTAATCCTTCTGTGGATTCAGCCGGTCTTAAGACAGCTCTGTAGCCTTCCCTGTCATACTGTGCCTGTATGCTGATAGCTGGAAAAAGGAAAATATACATTTTATAATTATTATAAATTAAGACTAAATGTTAATTGTAATATAAATAAACAATTATTAGCATGATAGTTAAGTCAACAAGACAAGGTAAAGATAACTAAAAGAAAGCAAGCCATTATCTCACCATCATCTTCTTTATTAACAGTCCTGTAGTTTGAAACTGGTGGAGGCTCATATCCTGTCGATCCTAAAGAAGCAGAACAAAATTTTAGACTAGTACTACAGCAAACATATTAATATGAATGTAACGAGGCGTGAAAAATATAATTATGATTCTAACATGCCTGTCATGTATATATTATTTTTGTGGAAAAAATAATTTTCATTTTGGCTATGGAGTATATACATGAAAGCAGTTATATGGTACTTACCTGCCCAGGTTGAGCGCTCCCTCTCTCTAGCAGCAGCTGGTTTGAACCTCCTGGGAATGTGGACCCTCTCCCCAATGGGATTGATGACTTCGTAGTCAGATGCAACCGAGTCTCTGACAGAGCTAGAGTTCCTAGACATGGTAATGTCACCGACGAGCGGAGAGGTTTCACGATTGAAATCACTTGCAACATCAGACAATTCTCTTTCCCTTTCATGATACATGGAGGGGAAACCACTCTGTGTCGGAGCAGAGGACATGATTGATAGGGAGAGAGCTGACAGAAGAGAGAGCACTTACATGTAGCACACACAAGCACTGCAGTTTTAATTAACTACAATAACCATTAACTTTATTGCACACTTCCGCATACTATCATTCCAATAGATTACGGAAATTGAGCAACGCCCACGAAAAAAATATTGTCATAAAATCAAGAGTAAATAAAATGCATTAGCTAAAAGTAGATAGCAAGTTTAAAAAAAAGACTAAATGAGTCACATGAGGAAGAAGTGGAGTTTGCAGGAAGATAATCACAGCATACATGTATTGTATAGGCTATACTCCAACTATTGGTTAGACTGGAGCAGATGTGTCACCTCCACTGCCTCCACTCCCTTTAACGTCCCATTTCTTAATGAAAAGCAGTGCCATCCAGAGAACGACAAACAAGTATGCAAACATGGAGAAAAAGGCAAAGAACTACAAAAAACAGAAATAAAAATTAAAGCCAGTTTATCAAAAAGAAAACATGAGAAGGAGACGATTGTCAACAACTATTCATTGTCATAACGTTCGTACAAGATGATTGTTTCAAAAACATACCACACACAAACAGAGGCGGACAATCATGCTACCTCTTTAGTGTCCGACATTTTAAACACGATGCTTAATTATAATAAACGATATACTTGCAATAACAGCATTACATAAACTGTCAATCTTGGTCATAATAATAAACTTATAGCCAATTTTTGTATACACAAAATGATCAGTACACAAAACATCAAGAAATCTTTATCATGTATTCTCTTATGCTAATCCAAATTCAAAAACTTACAGCTGCAGCTCCAATAGCGTTTCGAGTTGTCGTTATGACTCCCCTAAACTCTGTGGCAGTATTGAGGATGTCAGTAAGGTAATCAGCAGTAGCAGCAAGAGAGGCAGCTCCCGTAAGGAGAAGGAAAGCAAGGACACCATTAACAATAATGTCCTAAGAGAAACGAGTATTAGAATGGAAGGAAATGGAGAGAGGAAGAGGAAAGGAGAGGGTCTTACGGTAACGAGGACTACAGTTCTGTAGTTCGTCATAAAGGCAAAGTTGACAAACCTGCACACAAGGTACAGGATGCCGTAAATTAGCCCGATGATACCAAGAAATATGGTCCAGCCTGCAGCTGCTATTGCCCTATTGAGATTAGCATTGTTATCATTTATATTATTAGCTTCATCTTGGGCCACAGAGGAGGCAATGAATAAAATGAAAATAGAGACCTTGAGAGAGAAAGAGAGAGAGAGAGGGGGGGGGGAAGGTGAGAGAAAAATATATAATAACAAATTGAAAAGGAGATTTTCTTTCCTTACCAAAACAACACCCTTTGCTGAGATTTCAACAATCCCCTGCCAGTATTGCACAGGTGCGAGGGTAGGCGAGGGCTTTATTTGAGTAAAAATGCTCCCACCGACTCTAGCAGCCTTGACAGTTCCTTCCACAGACATATTTAAAGACTATCTTTGACAAAGAGAGGAGTTGTGGAGTGATCAAGCAAAAGATATAAGTGGGCGTGTTATCTTAAATGAATTAAAATTTCTGCACGTCATTATTCATTATCTACACACAGCCACACCTATATAGGCTACACTGTCCAGTTTGCAAGAAATGGATCTCACCAGCTTACCACTGAAGTTAAGAGTAGAAGGTACACTTATCTTGTTTCTTATTCACCTCCCTCATTCTCTCCCCACGCCCCCAGTTCTAAAAGCAAGGGATCTAGCACCTGCTGATACCAATGGAAAGTCTGATCCATACTGTATTGTCTCATTAGGTCAGAAGGTAGTACAGACTAGTGTACAGCCTCAAACACTGTTCCCGGAATGGATGCAATCCATGGCCTTCTTTAGCTCAGACTTAGAACCATTTGCTCTTATACAAGGAGGTAAGGAGAGGAAGAGAGAGAGACATCAATTTCATAGATTACATTTTGTTAAATTTTCACTACAATACTGCAAGTAGATTAGTCTATAAAGACCAGTCATGCCTTGGGTTAAATTTTCAATGGAAAATCAAGGAGAATAATCACAATCAACTTGGCAATAACAATTTAGTCTTTACACTAACAAAAAACTTGGCACTGGTTCTTTTTGCGGGAAAGCCCAAATTTGCTTTTATAATGCAAGACATTTTCACTGTCGCATAATATTGTCCTTTTCCCCACTCTCTCTTTCTCTCCCCC